GGCAAAGGTGAGTCGTACACAGGGCTATAAGGTTCTAATGCTATAGGTAATGCCTCCACCTTGAGCCTTTGAACCCTCTAGGCCTATAGGGTTTAAACCCTATAGGGCTAACCCCGTGAGGGCTTTAGAGATAAACTTGGAAAAGTCCTGAGCCTTTAAACTTTATGGGGTTTTAAGGTTTAAAGACCTAAGGTCTGGGCATGTATACCTTCAGCGCCTATAGGGTTAAAACTTTTGAGGCTTTTAGAGCCCCATAGGCTTTCAGGGTTCTGACCCTAAAGGGCTTAGGATTTAGATTTTAAATGCCTAAACCGTAAGCCCTTATGATTTAAGCTCTATGGGCTTACAAACCTTGAAGACCCCCAAAACCTTTGAACCCGATACCTGCTTATTCTTTGCATTTCCACCAAGCCCTCAAAACAGAGGCATAACCATATGGGATTTTAGGTTTAGGAACTTACGCCTCAAGCCTTGCAGGGTTTTTTTCAGGCTCTAATCCTATAGGCAATGCTTAAACCTTAAGCCCTAAACTGTTGAACCCTATAGGCCTAGAGGGTTCAAACCCTACAGGGCTAACCCGTGAGGGCTTCAGAGATAAACCTTGTGAAGCCCTAAACCTTTCGACTTTATGTGGTTTAAAGGTAAAAACCAAAGGTCTGGGCATGTATACCTTCATCCGCATATGGGTTTAAACCTTTTGGGGCTTCTAGAGCCCCATAGGCTTTCAGGGTCTTGACCCTAAAGGGTCAGGTTTAGATGCCTGAATCGTAAACCCTTAAGGTTTAAACTCTATGGGCTTAGGTTTACATACCGAGATCTTAAACCTTCAAACCGATTAACCCTATAGGATTTAAAGGTTAAGGGTTTAGGTGTAATGGCTTAACCTTGAAACCCTATGGATCTCAAGGTTCAGGTTTCAAAGGGTTTCGGGGCGTCTCTTTTTATAAGACTTAAACCTTATCCGATAGGGTTTTAGAGATGAGCCCGGAAAGAAAAAGCATTTACAAAACCAGGGAGCGGAGCGGAAGGGAGGGGAGGAGGTCGCTGTGCCCAGTGTTTGGACAGATGGAGAGGACTCAACATGCATGTCAAGGATTGCATACATTTACGTTATGTACAGGGTTGGGTTATTGGGGGGGGGGGGGGGAAGTTCAGGGGTCACCGCGGCCCGTGAACGATTTAATTGGCTCGCAACCACAAAAGGTGTGGATAACCACAAAAAAGCGTGGATAACCCGGGGGGGGTAGCTTATATATATATATATATAGGATATATATATATAGGGGTTACATAGGGGAATAATCCCTCCTTGTACCCTGTAAATGTCTGCAACAGCAGGAGGTTCCATTTCTGGCTCCGTCGTTTTTGGCTTCTCTTTTCTGTGTCGTTGGCTTCCACCCCACCCCCCCCCCCCCAAAGCAATTGTTGAAACCTACCCTCTGGAGAGTGATTGGGTGATGAGAAGCAGAAGGGCTGCGGGGCCGGGGTAGTAGGATGGATATTGCGGGACGCATAAGGTCATCTGTGGCCCACCTTGTCAGATTCTGAAGCGGTGAACAGGGGAGCCTCTTGAGGGGGATGGGGGTTGTAGGGGGGGGTAATAGGGGGGAAACCCTAAACCCTAAACCCTAAACCCTAAACCCTAAACCCTAAACCCTAAACCCGCTTCATGGAGCTGAACATGAAAGGGAACTTGGAATGGAACCCAGAATGGAGCCCACCCGGGGCGCCGTTCCCTGTACTTCCCCTATAAAGCCGAAACCCCAACCCCCAAAACCCCTAAATCCCTGAATCCCTCAACCCTAAACTCTAAACCCCAAACCCCCAATCCCTAAACCCCAAACCCAAAACCCCAAACCCCCAAACCCGAAGCCCCAAACCCTAAACCCCAAACCCTAAACCCTAAACCCCAAACCCTAAACCCCTAAACCCTAAACCTGAAACCTCTAAACTTCCAGGCCGAACTGGACTCCAAAGTCTTCGACTTCATCGTCGTGGGATCGGGGAGCGCCGGCTGCGCCTGCGCGGCGCGCCTGGCGAGGTCTTCCCCCCCCCCCCCCCACTTGGAGGTTCAGGGTTTAGGGTTTAGGGTTTAGGGTTTAGGGTTTAGGGTTTAGGGTTTAGGGTTTAGGGTACTTATGATCCCGCAGGTTTGGGCGGTCTGAGGCGTAGGGTTTAGGGCTTACGGTTCAGGCGTTAGGTCTTGGGGCTTAGAGGGGTTTTGGGGTTTAGAGGGGTTTTGGGGTTTTGGGGTTTTGGGACTCAGGGTTCCTTGGAGCACATTTATTGGGTTGTACGGATACATTGGGGATACATTAGGGTTTCAGGGTTTACCAGGGGTCCCCAAATTCTAGTCAGGATACAAGATACTCTGGGGCTGAGAACAAGCTCATAGAGGGATTCAGCTGCAACAGCCCCGCAAGCCTACACACCTCTACTCTGTAAGCCTTTGACACCCTAGCCCTAGCCCTCAACCTAAAAAGTTATGGTTCATTCGCCAAGTACTCCCATTCAATCCAACATTTTGCAGAAAAGCCAAGAATACCGCACGCGAAGATCAAGTACACCCGAAACCCGAAATCCGAACCCGAAACCCGAAACCCGAAACCCGAAACCCGAAACCCGAAACCCGAAACCCGAAACCCGAAACCCGAAACCCGAAACCCGAAACCCGAACCTTCCTTCAGGACTGGCGCCTCAGTGTTGCTCGTGGAAGCCGGCGGGGTGTCCTTGATGACAGAGGGTTTCGGGTTTTAGGGTTTAGGGTTTAGGGTTTAGGGCTAGGGTTGAGGGTTGAGGGGTCGGCAGAGTTTAGGGTTTAGGGTGCGGGTGTTTCATTTGTTTTGGGAAACCTGGTTCTGGGAAGGCAGCTGCATCTTGGGGGTGGTGTAGGCCCCGGAAAGTACCCTCCAGATCTTGTCCCCTACAAGCCTTAAACCTTGCTCCAGTCAGCATCCTCACATTCGGTTTCGGATGTTCCCTAAATTAGGGTTCTTTTTCCGTGCTCCCATTACAATATGAAGCTCTAGGGTACTCTGGGATGTTCCCTCTAGCAGTCCTTAGTAGGGACTATATCTGAGTATAAGAGGCAACATCCCAAAGGGTGCCCAAAAAGGGTTGGTTCTTAGTAGGGAATGAGGAAATGAGGTCTCCTGTGTAAACACGAAAGGGCAGATGTAGGGCTCTAATTCCCTCATGCCCTACGAAGAACTAGGGGGACCACTCCCCACCCCCCCCCTGGTTCCCCCCTGAAATGACCTTAATTGGGCTTACTGTACCTAAATGCCTGAATTATAGGGGGGAAACTAGGGGGGTAGTAGGGAAGTAGGGCAGCCCATGTTTTGAAGATTCTTCATCCGCACTGCAAGGAAGCACACCGCTCGCCGCTGGCACAATGTCCGCGAAAGCACCCATGCTGCAGCTCAGTTCGCCGCAGGGTTTAGGGTTTAGGGTTTAGGGCTGAGGGTTGAGGGTTGAGGGGAAGGGGGATGTCCCTGGCGGCTGCGCGGCTTCCGGTCGTGTTAAAGACGGCACAAGTTTTACGGCTTATGGTCGTAGCGTATCGGTTCTGATGGTGCAGGGGAGAAGTCCTCGATGCTTCGCAGCCACAGCAAGGACATACAATTGCCTCGACCTGGATACGTGAATAGAAGCGGGGCAACCTAAGTTATCTCAAAACCCTAAACACCCCTAAGCCTCAAAGGCCCTAAGCCCTGCACATCCCTTAACAGCTCTAAGCCCTCAACCCAAATGCACTCCTGAAGTGCCCCTGCACCGCAAACCCTAAACCCCGAACCCTAAGAACCCCAAACCCTAAACCCTAAACGCAGAACCCCCAAACGCCAAAGCCTAAGCTCAAAGCCCTAAACTCGAAACCCCGAACGGGGAACCCTAAACCCGAAGCCCCAAACCCTGAACCCTAAACCCTAAACCCTGAACCCTAAACCCTAAACCCTAAACCCTAAACCCTAAACCCCAAGCCCTCTCTCTTTCCAGGATGTGGGGAATGTGGCAGTCAGAAGTCGACTGGGGCCTCCGCCTCTGAGATCGCAGAGTGGGGCTTAGGTCTTAGGTCTTAGGTCGTGTGGTTTAGGGTTTAGGCTAGGGTTTAGGGTCTAGGGCTTGAGTTCGGAGCTCGGTTTAGGCCGTCGAATTTCGGGGCCTCGGTGCGGGGTGGAGGGTGTAATCTGGAAGGCCCATATGGGAAGCCCCAGGCAAGCTCCTAGGCGGGGGCATTGTACGTCCACAGCCCAATACTTGGTGGTTCACGGTACTTGACACCCCAACTATAGCCATAACGGCACTTAGAAAGCCCCTAAGTCCTCTAACTAGGTTACACGTAGACTTATAGCTGGGGTTCTCAGTACCCCTGAGCATCTAGAACCCCCACTTGCATAGACTGAGGGAGCAGCTTCTTGAGCCACGGACCTCTCAACCCAAACCCTAAACCTTAAACCCTAAACCCTAAACCCTAAACCCTAAACCCTAAACCCTAAACCCTAAACCCTAAACCCTAAACCCTATTCCTAAACCATAAACCGCCTATGGACCGACTAAGCCAGGCCTCAGCCCTCGGGCTTCAGCACTTGGTAGCCCAGGTGGTACCCTTTACCCTTTTTTTTTGGGTTTTGGGTTCCCTTATAAAGTAACCAACCAAAAGAAGGGTGCCCTTATTATCATATGGTTACTGGGCTACTAAGAGCAGGGTTCATCTCGAACCCTTTCTTGCCTAAACCCTCCGCAGCCTTAGCGTCTCTTCCCGAGGAGTTGTTGCACAGGGACCTTCAATCATCCGGGGACTCCCCAAATTTCCCCTTAAAGGGGACCCCGAAGCGCAGCCTGTATATGTGTATGCTTGTAAAACGTCCGCCAGGTGGTGTCAGGTTTGATCTTCGCAGAGAGAACGTCCTGGAGGGATTGGCATGCTCTGAAAAGTAGCCACGGATCTCTAATTCTATCAGAGGAGAGTCTGCAACTGGGGGGATGGGAGTTCTAGCGCCATGCAACAGTGTTTCGGGAAGTCGAAGGTTGAGGTTTGTTTCGAGGAAGGTGTCGGAAACTTCCGAGGATCCACCCCGCAGAAGTGTCTTGGAAGCTGTTTTGTAGGGTTTGGCGTTTGGAGGGAGGGCTCTGGGGCACTGAAAAGTTTTTGGGGCACTGAGAAGTTTTCCTGAGGTGCCGTTCGTTATAGGCGGTCGCGTGGTTCAGGGGTTTTACTCGTCCTAGGGTTTTACGGAGTTAGCTTCTTCAGGTCCAGAACGGCAGGGTCAAGGGCGTAGGAGCTTGTAGGTGATAACAGGTTAGGCACAGTCGGTTAAGGGTACAGGGTGCGGGAAGACAGCTCGGTTTGCGGGCGCTTCTGGGTTGTGGGCTTAGGGCTGCATCTACGCACCTCGATGTGCTCCCAAAGCGTCCATGTACCTACATAGTATAATATACGTGGGCCTAAAAGGGCTTCCTATTAAGTAGCGTTTGGGCCCAAGTAGATACTCTAGACTATAGAGATACAGGAGCCCTTAGAGGGATTCTTGTTTGTATATTCCGTAGCGCAGTAACCCTCAAGCAGGCACAGGCCCGAAGCCCTGAACTACCTCTACCGTTCTTCTAAGTACCCATGAGCCTTCAAGAAGACCTTGGCAGTCACCCTAAACCCTAAACCCCAAAACCGACTCGACTCATGAGCTAAGTACCTCTGAACCCATTGCAGGAGATTTCCAATCAAATTAGGGTTGAAGGTTTAGGGGTTCCTACAACCACCATCATAGCATCTCGAGGTACATGTATCTAAGGGGCACCCTGTGTATTCGGAAATGCCCAGGTTAGAGGCTTGATTCAGCTTTCGGCTGAAAGGGTTTGTGTTCAGGGCCTCAGGGAAAGCCCAAGACTCCAAGCTCTGAGCCCTAAACTCCGAAAAGCAAAACCCCTACAGGCCTAAACCCCCAACTTCCCCAAGCTCTAACCACTCAACCCTAAACCCTCCAAAGGGTTGGGGGACCCTAATACCTGTAGGCACCCCAAGGTTCGCCCCCCCCTAAGTGTAGTTACATGGTCCCTTTAAGAAGGTAAGGGGGCCCTTAACCCGAAACCCCTAACCCCAGAGAGGGGGGTAGTATATGGTACCCTTAGACCCCCGCTTGGCCGCCCCCAAGTCAAGGCACCTGCTACCAGAGGGCCGAATCATCGACATGGAGCGGGGGAAAACGCTGGGCGGAAGCAGCACCATCAACTACAACATGCACCTGGGCCCCAAGAAGGGCCTAAGTCCCCGAAGGAACCCTAAGCCCATGAATTGAACCGTAACCTTAGTGTAGTTTCATGGTGCCTTAATATGGTCCCTTACCCTCTTTAGAAGGTTCTGATGTTTGGGCCCTTGGCATTGCATAGGGGATATACGGGGTATATAATGGGGTCCCCTTTTCTGTCCATGCATTTCTTGGGGTTGTCCCTTGAAGTAAGATAACGGCCCATATTAAGGGACCATATAACCACCCTAAGACCTACGTGTTTATAAACGGCATCCCGGCGTCCGGTGCAGGGCTGAAAGTACAGCCCTAAACCCTAACACTTTTTTTCTAAACCCTATACCCTGAACCCTAAGCGCCATGAGACCCAAGGTTTATGCGAGCATGCTATCACTCGGGTTAGCTGCGCCCTCACACCGCAGTTATAGCACACAAAGCCCTTCCATACGTCCAACAGCCCGTGAACATTCCAAATCCTGAGATCACTCCCTAAACCAAGCCCTGCCTAAACCCAGCAGAATTGGGTTTGTGGTCTAGGGTTTAGGGTTTTAGGGTCAACTCCCCAAAGTTTCTGTTTGTAAGTTTAGTATCCGGGGTATTCGAGGACCTCTGCCGACACCCTAAACCTAAGCCCTGGCATTTAAGAGGTTTAGGGACTCGGGTTAGGGGTGCAGGGGTTGGGCGGTCGAGGGTTTTGCTCTGGGACTCTAGGGTTAAGGCTCTTGCCCTAGCATTTCGGGCCGAAGGCATCCTTGCCACCAAAAGCTCACACCCCCTCCCTAAACCCTAAACCCTAAACCCTAAACCCTAAACCGTGTGCCTGTGATCTCTACATTGGTGGGCTTTCCCACAATGCGCATTCGGTGGTTGTAGGTATGGTTGCAGTTGCAGCTGCACTTAGCCCACTTGTGGCTCTAGGTAGTACTACCCATGACGCCTCAAGTCGGCCTTAAAGTATGAAATACTTGGCCCCAAACCCCATGAACCCCGTAACCCAAACCCCATGAACCCTAAACCCTAAGCCCTAAACCCTAAACCACAAAAAATCTGAGAAGTCAGAATCTCCTTGAACCTGACCTCCCTCGCCCCAAGAACCCGTTAGACACCCCCAAACAAAGCCATGGCCAGAGCTCCTCGTGAGTTGACATGCGTTTAGGGCTTAGGGTTTAGGGTTTAGGTTTTAGGGTTTAGGGTGCAGGGTCCTCTCCTGGAAGGCAACCCGAAGTTGCGGCTCAGGTGGGTGCGCGGTGCGCCGGAGGACTTCGACCGCTGGGCGGCAGACTATGGCTGCGACGGCTGGAGCTACGAAGACGCGCCCCGGGAAGTTGCGTGACACTTGGGGTTCAGGTCTCTTGGTTTTTTTTTTTGGAGGAGGGGGGGGGGGGGGAGGGGGTGAAGTTTAGGGCTGTGGCGGCGCCTGGGCGCACTCCTTAGGATCCTTGTCCTGTCCGGGACTGAACATGACTGAACACCACACATACTCAACGAGGGACTTTTGAGTGGCTCATGCCTGTTAGCTGTCGTGCTTGGTGTCTACTTCAGTTTCCGGGGGCAGGTATGAGTTGGGGTTATAATGAGCGCAAGAGAATACGTATACATATACATATACATATACATATACATATACATATATACATTGGGTTCGTGCTTTGGCTGTAGCTGCTTTCACAACCGGTAAATACAGATACTCCACAGCGCCAGGGGGGTGGGGGGTTGTTTGGGGAGGGTGGGTGGTTGTTGAGGGAGCGGAGGGTGGGGGGTAGGGGAGGGTGGGAGCGGCGGATCCAGAAACCCCAAAACCCCTGAAGCCCCCGAAGCCCCTGAGGTGCTTCCGCACTTCCGGGCAATTGAAAAGATGGAGGGCAGCCCCGGCTTTTCTGTCGATGCCAGGCAAGGAGTTTTGCGGCTCAGGTCCCGGGATGTGTGATAAGGGTGTCTTCCCACGCAGCCCTCTGCGAAGCACAGGCCAACACACCAAACACACCAGAAAGGGTGTCACAGGCTGCCGTGAATCACCGGCGGTTTGGTCAGACCGGCCAGCCGCCTAGGTAGCATTCCGGCGTTTAGAGGTTGAGGGCTTTGAAGCCCTCTAATTCTTCGAGCCCGAACTGCTGTAGAACCATCAACTCCCAGCCCCTCATCCCCTCAGCCCGGAAGGTATCGTGGCGAGGCGGGCCCCGTTGCGGTCGCCGAGGTTCACCCGGTACCAGCAGGAGTGGACAAATTCCTCGCCGCCCAACGGCTGCTTTGGAAGGGTCTAGGGCCGCTTCAGGGTCAGACGAGGTAGCTTCTGTTGCATGACAATTTGGGGGGGAGGAGGCGGGGGGAGGCGGGGGGAGGCGGGGGGAGGGGGCCCTGCTTCACATGCCTTGCTTCGGATTCAGGGGGCTCAGGGGTCAGCATCTTCACAGGTTTCTCCGGGAGCTTTCGAACCCTACACCCTAAACCCTAAACCCTAAACCCTAAACCCTAAACCCTAAACCCTAAAGAAACAAAAGAGGCTGTCCTCGTCCCGAAGCCTCCTACTCAGGCCTGCGAGAGCGTGGGAGCCCAGCGCGGCGACTACAATGGGCCAACCATAACCAACGTGGCTGGGTGCACGCAGCCACCTGGGCTACCATCGGCCACCGTTTAGGGTTTAGGGTTTAGGGTTTAGGGTTGAGGGTTGAGGGTTTGGGGTTTAATGTTAAGGTCGCTTTAATAAACCCCCCCCCCCCCCCCCGGATTTGTTCCGGCGCTGGGTCCAAACAAACTTTGAAAGGGGTCGGGGTGGTAATAGTAAAGGGGGGGGGATGGGCTGGGTCTGGATTGCTGTCAGTAAGTAGCCAAAGAGGCTTGCTGATGGAAGAGAGTCCCAGACCGGCATCGCCCCGTTCGCCGGACTTTATTAATGTCACCCTTTATTATTACGATTTCGAGGCCTCGTGGGGGGTAGCCTTGGCGGATTTGTTCGGGAGCTGTTTTTTAGAAGGATTTTAAGAAGAAATCGATGCTTTTCGGTCAGCCACGAAGATCAGGATTTCTGAGCCTGGAGCCGGTTCAAGAGATCGGCAAAATGAAGCTGTGTGGTCTCGGCCTCGAGTGAAAAGAGGAGTACTCTCGGAAGCACATTTGGGAAATTCTCCCGGAAAAGTTTCCACTATTACCACCCGTTTTTTGATTACGACCCCCCTCAAAATGGGGTTTAGGGTTCGGGGCAGCCTAACATAATGGAAACTGTTCATGAAACAAACTTTTGGGCAAAAATCCCGGCCGGAAAAGTTGCCACTATTGACACCCGGTTTATAAAGGTGACCCTAACATTAGGGTTTAGGTTTCGAATTGAGTCTTCAAAAGCAAGGAAGGGGCCCTAAACCCCAGAGTCCCAGAGGATCCGACCTACCGCTTACAGACGAATCTTTCCGAACTCCCTCAGGGGTGTTGCCGGCTCCTGGGCCTAAGGGAGTTGAGGGGCTGCACCCTAAACCCTCAACCCTAGACCCTAGACCCTAAACCCTAAACCCTAAGGGGCTTTTGGGGCTGAGCCGAACTCATCTTCCCGAAAAAAAAAAAAAGCGCGCTTCGCGTGCGAGGCTGCCTCCAGCCATCTCCGAGACCTGCCCCCCTCAACACTCTGCCGCCCGAAAAACCCTCAACCGTAAACCTAAACCCTCAACCCTCAACCCTCAACCCTCAACCCTCAACCCTCAACCCTCAACCCTATACCTAAACCCTAAACCCTCAACCCTAAACCCTAAACCCTAAACCCTAAATCAGGTTCAACACAAACGGGCCAGGAGGTGGTCGCCAGGCCATTGGGTGGGGGCGGCCTTCGGACGTGGAGCTTGCGAAAATAAGAAGAGACCATGGCTATGTGGGGATTTTCGGATACTCGTGCTTATTGGGGTCCTTCTCATACGGGGATCCTACTATTTGGGGGGGTCTATACTAGGGGTCCCCGAATGATCGTAAACCGCCATGACACCCCCTTACTAGCCTTATGAAGTGGCGTAGCTTGAAGCCGCGCGGCGAAGCTAAGACTGGACCGGCAGGAGGTTGAAGCTGAGGATCTCCCGGTCCTCAGGTCTAAACCCTAAACCCTAAAACCCTAAACCCTAAACCCTGAACCCTGAACCCTGAACCCTGAACCCTGAACCCTATGCAGGATTGCTTCTCAGCCTTCATTGAGCCTTTGCTTCGGTGGTATCCCAAGCTGCAGGCACTTGCGCTGGTGTCAGAAAATCAGGGCTGAGTTCGGTGCAGAGTTAGGGTTGAGGGTTTAGGGTTCAGGGTTTAGGGTTTAGGGTATAGCTTTATTCAGGGTTTAGGGTTTAGGGTTTAGGGTTTTCTTTGAGGGGAGGGATTGCGGACTGTGACATTTTTGATGTGTAGTTCTTTCACGATTTCTATCGACTGTTATTCTGACCTATATAACGCTTACGATCACCCTGAACCCTAAACCCTGAACCCTAAACCCTAAACCCCTAAACCCCTAAACCCCTAAACCCCTAAACCCTAAACCCTAAACCCTAAACCCTAAACCCTAAACCCTGAACCCCCACATTCCGCTTATGTTTTCAGTTGGGCGGGGACTGGCCTCGGAGCGGTGACGTGTTCACGCCGTTCCGTGCCCAAAAAGTTCGGGATCTCGCTTCTCTTTATTATATAAATATATATATATATATATACATCTTTTTCTTGTCATGTTCTTATATACTTATATACTCATGTACTCAAAAGCTTATATACTTATGTATATATATATATATGTACTCTTACAAGAGAAAACTATTAAATAAGAATATATTAGCATTCGAGTGAGCAACCCTTGGCCTTGGCGCCGGAGTGCCGACACGCACATGCGTCGCTTTGCCCGATGAGGCCCCTCAGCAGCCTAGAGTTGAGGAGCTAGGAGCAAGAGCTCCTCAGGGTTTAGGATTTAGGGTTTAGGATTTAGGGTTTAGGGTTTAGGATTTAGGGTTTAGGATTTAGGGTTTAGGATTTAGGGTTTAGGGTTCATATAGGGTTTCGGGGTCAAGGGCTGGACTTGGTCCTTTGGATTTGCTGCCGACAGGGAGGCCCGTTATGTTGGGCGCTGTTTGTCCGGCCGATGGCTGTTCGCATGTCGGGGGTCTTTGGGACCAAGTTCCCCGCCTTGCCTTGATATGCCTGGAAAGTGCCTTGAGATGCTTAGAAGGGGGCTGGCCCACATAAAGCACGCCCGGGTGTGTCCAGTGCACGACTGCTTGTTTGAATGTAGGATGTTTTGTGGTCAGTATTTCATACCACTCGTTTTCCGAGTTTGGGTCATCAAATCTTGATGTGTCCATGGTATGCGTTTTGTTCCAATCCTGTGCTTTACTCCAAATAAGATCAAATAGTGACATTGTCGGAATAGCACCAAATGAATCAGGATCCATAAAATGCAATCCAATCATTACATGAAATATTGACGTGAAATATTTACATGATGTGCCAATAATTCATGATCATAATCAATGAAGGTTGAACATCAAAACATTTTTTGTCAGGGATTCTCCGTTGTTTGACATTATGTGGTTTCATCTTGTGTACAGAATATTCAACCTTAAATGCTTTGTAACAGAAAAGCAATGCATATATGATATGTGCATCAAACTATCCCTAAAGTAATCAGATAATTCCTTGTCCTCTCCTGATACAGCACAGTAATGACACTCTGTGGATACTCTCCTTCTGTCGCCAGCAAGACCATAGCTCAGCCCCACAAATCGCTAGCCCTCCCTTAGGTTGACGTTGTTGGTTGAGGGGTTTAGGAAGACGGGTTGACGGTTATAGGGTTTAGGGTCCCTAAACCCTAAACCCTAAACCCTAAACCCTAAATGAAAGGTTTAGGGTTGAGTTGGAGGTCAAGAAAGGGTTGGGAGTGTTGACCTCGGGTTGACAGCTTGGGGGCTCAAAGAAGTTTGGGGGTTGAGGGGTTTAGGGGTTTTGGGTTTAGGGTTTAGGGTTTAGGGTTTAGGGTTTAGGGTTTAGGGTTTACTGAGGATTTAGGGGTTCAGGGCTTAGGGATATTTGCTTCGGATAGCTCAGGTAGGCAGGGCCTATGCAATCTTACTTCAGGCTGCAATATCGGTTGTTGGAACCAAGCAATCAGGTCTACTCCAAGATTTACGGTATTGGCCTCCGCGGAGTCGCCTCAAACGCTGAATCTTAAACCTACTGGCTCCCAGTGGGGAATGAGGGAAAGGGGTACCCCATATAGTCCCTTCAAGTATATATATATATATATACATACATATGTATATAATATTGTATATATATATATATATATATGTATATATATACACGTAGGCTGAGGGGATTGATAAGGTACCGAATTCCTTCACGCGCTCCTAAGAACCAGAAGGAAAACCCTAATTGCCGGGGAGGTTGCCAGCGAGACCTTCTGCCGAAAACTCGTCGTGGAGAAGGCAGCTGAGGGCATAGGGTTAGGGCTTAGTTTTTGGGATTTAGGGTCCAGGTGCTTAGGGCTTAGGATTTAGGGCTTAGGGCTCAGGATTTGGGGTTTAGGGTTTAGGCTACGGGATGCTAGGTACGTTTTTAAGAAGGCTTCGCAGGGATCAGGACGCCTTAACTGCTTGCGGGCACCATTTCCTTGTGCCGTCGGTTGCTGAGGATGGTGGCCCTCTAACACCCCAAAAGATTGCGAATCGAGGCCTAAACCCTAAACCCCCAGACCCTAAACGCCGAACTTCCCAACTCCTGAAGCCTAAGCCCTAAACCCTAGACCCTAAACCCTAAACCCTAAACAAACCCTAAACCCTAAACCCTAGACCAACCCTAAACCTCCCAACTTGGGAGATGGCGAGGCGGCTGGGAAGCCCCGGGCTACCGGGGTGGTGCTGGAGTTGCGCTCCGGGGAGCTGGTCACCGTGAAGTGCAGCCTCGTGGGCAGCAGAGTGAGGGTTTAGGGTTTAGGGTTTAGGGTTTAGGATTTAGGATTTAGGGTTTAGAGTTTAGGGTTTAGGGTTTAGGGTGAGGACCTGAGGAGCTGAGGACCCAACATTTACGGTTTTATGGATTACGAAGGTAAGCACGAAGCCCTGAAATTCCCCCAAAGGGCGCGAAACCAAAACCTCAAGCCCGAAATCTCAGAGCCCCAAAGCTCCAGAATGCTTTTAAGCACCGCATAGACTACTTAAACCTCCAGACCATAGTCCCCCGAACCCCTAAGCCCTAAGCCTTCAACGCCTTGCTCTGACAGCCAGGCCGGGAAGTCGTTTTAAGCGCCGGGGCGCTGATGTCACCACAGATCCTGCTCCCTGGAGGCATTGAGGCAATCGATGTGTTCGTTTAGGTTTCGGGCTTAGTGCTTAGGTTTCAGGCTTGAATGTTTAGAGATTAGAGCTTCTTCTTGCTTCAAGTGCTGCTTCACCTCTGCTGCATTTCGCAGCAGCCTCCTGCAGCCCCCCAAACCCCAACACTCGAGACACACCACTCGGCTTGCAGACTTTCGGGCCATCAGTGTGGCCTTGCCCGACCTGCCTGAACCTGAATCCTAGATGACTCATGGAGCCCTTGGGGGTTTAGGGCTTTGGGTTTGCGGTTTAGGTGTTCGAGTTATTGAGAGTTTAGGGTTTAGGGTTTGGGGCCACCTCCACAGACTGACAGGGCTTGCTTTGGCCCTCTCAAAGAGAGAAGGTGGAGTTTACAATGCCCACGAAACTCCTGAGGGTTTAGGCTTTAGGGTTTAGGGCACACTTTATATTCGCCACTTTACCTAGCTGTCACGCTGCAAATAACTACTGATGAAGCCCTAAACCACTGCTTCCCCACCAGCAAAATTTCTTTGCTGCGCCGTCATTGAGCTTCTGGGACGAGAGTCCAGTCTTGAACAGAACGCAAAGGCGTACGCTGTCCGCGATGTCTCTCTGTAGCCATTCCTAAGTCCTAAGTCAGCCTTTGGACTAAAGCCTTACCAGGGTGTAGGAGTTTGTGAGGCTTCCGGGCAGAACCGCCACATTCGTCAGCAGCACTACTCTATTATTGTTTGCTGTTATTATAAAAAGTACGAGTAGTGATCCCTAAACCCTGAACCCTAAACCCTAAACCCTAAACCCTAAAGCGCCATTTATCTAAGCATTTTCGAATTCTACGTCACGAGCCGAGGATGCTGAGCGGCATCGGGGACGCCAAGCATCTTCAGGAGCATGGCATCGCCACCTGGGCGCGAAGGGCAATGCCCAAAGGTTGGGTTTAGGGTTTCGGGTTTAGAGTTTAGGGTTTAGGGTTTCGGGTTTAAGGTTTTTTAGACTTTTTGGGAGTGCTGAACCAGCGGTAAGGGGGTTAGGGTTTCGACTGAAGGGTTCAGGTTGAGAGGGTTTAGGGTTTACACATATGACCGTCATCATTGCAGAAGCAGGAACCCGAAATCGTGGCACTGCCGCACTTTTTCACAACGCTGATCGATATTGATCTTCAACATGACACTGAGCGTGGCCCGGCTACACTTTCAATCACACCCTCCGGTCCCGTGTTAGAGGGGTCATAAGCTTCCCAATGAGGCAGAGGCCTTTTTCAGTGTAGGGAACCCGGACAAGCGCTCTGCAGCCCAACATATGAGCTCACGGGCCTCATGGGTTTAGGTCAGGGTTTAGGGTTTAGGGTTTAGAGTTTGGGGCTGAGGGTATAAGAGTAAGTAAGGTCGCTGCTGCGACTACAACCGTTAGAAGAATCATGGCTTCCCACGAGTAGCCCACCAGCCGGCATTGGATCTCCATCCATGGCCGATCGGATGCCCAAAAACCCTACTCCTTGGAGAACTTCTTCCGAGCACGCTGAGGAATATCTCCATGTAGGACCCAGCCCGAAACCTTAAACCCTCAACCCCAAACCCTCAGGCCCTAAACCCTAAACCCTAAGCCCTAAACCCTAAACCCTAAACCCCAAACCCTAAACCCTAAACCCTAAATCCTAAACCCTAAACCCTAAACCCTAAACCCTAAACCCTAAACCCGAGCCATGTTGAAAATGATCGCTCCCCAGTCAAGGATTGTCTCGTGGACTCGCCAGCGGTGGGCCAGAATCTGCAGGATCACCCGATGCTTCCCCTGCTCCTCAGCTGGGGTTAGGGTTTAGGGTTTAGGGTTCAGGGTTCAGGGTTTAGGGTTTAGGGTTTAGGGTTTAGGGTTTAGGGTTTAGGGTTCAGGGTTCAGGGTTCAGGGTTTTGGAAAACAGCAGACCAGGGCGTTCAAGCCGAGGGCTTGGGTTGTTAGTGGTTTGTGTGTTGCCCTTCACGCACTCTGTCCCTCATTCCCTCTTTCTTAGGATTCAGGCTCCCTTATAAACCCAAAATGTGCACTCCTCCGGGGGGGGGCTGTATTCCCCTAAACCCTAAACCCTAAACCCTAAACCCTAAACCCTAAACCCTAAACCCTAAACCCTGCTTTTTTTGGGGGGGCGGGTGAATCTCAGGGATGTCCTTCTTTTGGGGAAGAATCCGCTGCGTGGGACCCCGGACTCCATGTCTCCTCTTGGCCTCACTCCCTGCTACGAGTCAGAAGTAGGGTTTAGGGTTCAGGGTTCAGGGTTTAGGGTTTAGGGTTTAGGGTTTAGGGTTTAGGGTTTAGGGTTTAGGGTTTAGGGTTTAGGGCTTTGGGCAGTTTAGGGTTGACCCAAAACCTTAAACCCCAAAACCCTAAACCCCAAGCACCGAGCTCTCAAGCCGCTGAAGATGCCCTTACTGCCTGCCTTTGTAATGGCGGTCCCACACCTTTGAGCACCTAAATTCCCCCAAGGCCAAACAGCCATGCAAACCCTAAAGACCATGGACCCTAAAACCCAAAGACCCTAAGACCCTAACACCCTAAAACCCTAAGACCCTAAGACCCTAAACCCTAACACCCTAACACCCTAAAACCCTAAACCCTAAAACCCTAAACCCTAAACCCTAAACCCTGGGTTGAGGGTTTAGGGCTCAGGGTTGCCCAACCCCCATCCCAGGCTCATGGCCACCACCGAGAAGACAAAGGAGCTTGCGCTGCTGTGCTTGGAGGTTTAGGGTCTTGGGGGTTTAGGGTTTAGGGTTTAGGGTTTAGGGTTTAGGGTCTTGGGGGTTTAGGGTCTTGGGGGTTTAGGGTCTTGGGGGTTTAGGGTTTTGGATTTAGGCTTTCGGGGTCGGAGGATGGAGGCCTAAATCCTAAGCCCTACACCTTACCCAAAAACCCAATCTG